TCCGGAAGCGAGATATTCCCCTCGTGTGCATTCAGTGGGATCGCCACGGAGCTACCCTGGAGGAAGAGTCGGACATTCGCGCTCGTTTTCCAGATTTTCAGTTTTGATGAACATATTTCTTTATCTTATGTACATAGTTCATGTATAGTAGTCATGTTTTGAATTTCCGAGGACGGAAATTTTGTAAGGAGGGAGGATTGTAATAGCCCGAGATATTATCAGTATAAATTACGTTTAATTTCGATATAGTAATGTTATTGTTTATTATTTTCTGAATTAGTTAAGTTCAGTCGAGATTACCGAAATCTATTTTCGACGTACTGATTACGTCCGGAATAATTTTGGTAATTAAGCATTATGTTTAATTAAATAATTAAACATAACATTAAGGGGTTAATTGTTGATTAACCCTAATCAACAATTAAAAGTCGTAGCTATTTGGGGAAAAGCCATGAGAAATTTGAGAATTTTCCCAAAATTGAATCAAATTGCCGTAACTTCCTTCATCATAAGGAAATCACATTTTCTCCTCATCTTAGCGTGAAACGTGGCATTAGTAGAAGATAATTAGTCATCATATAAGGCTTAAGGAGAGAGCAAGTGTAAGAGCATAAATAAGCCACATCAAGTACATAATCATCACCCCCTAATCGGCCGTGTATAAAGCATGGGAGATTGGAAAATTTCCCTCACTTTCCCTATAGTACATTCAGATCACTTTCAGCAAATATAAACCCCTTTAACAGCAGCAAGTTCATCCAAATTCTCCCAATAATTTCCACTCCAAACGCAAGGCAATCGTACGGCATAAGTGAAGGCATCGCACGGGCACGCGAGGTGAGGAGATTACGCGGAGTCCTACGATTTTCGTCGAGCGAACTAGGAGGTAACCATCTTTCTCTTTTGTGTTCATGTTCATTAGGTTACCTCTAGGTTCAGAGTTCGATTAATTGTCGGTTATTTCAGATTTAACCGTGCTTGAGACGAATATGCCTAAGTAAGAATAGCACCGAACAAGTTTCGTTTCCTTCCGACAACTCTCGAACAATAATCCTTAAATGATCAGTTTAGTTTGTTTTAAGTCGAGCATGATCAGTTTGTGGAGTTAATATATTGTAAAGTCGATGAAAAGGCCCCCAACCGACGCCCCGCGCCTATCGCGCATAGCATCGGGTAGCCTCGGGCCGAGACTTGTTACTTCTAGTATTAAGCATAATTGTCCGTGTGATTAGTCTTTAAATTGCTTCAGTTTAATAATCATGTGGAGTAGTTCAGTAGTTGTCGGTTAATAATTCAGTTCGGCCGAGAGACGGCATATAGCCGTCGGCGGCATACGGGTGATG